CCAACCCCAACCCCAACCCCTACCCCTAACCCTAACCCTAACCCTAACCCTAACCCTAACCCTAACCCTAACCCTAACCCTAACCCTAACCCTAACCCTAACCCCAACCCCAACCCCTAACCCCTAACCCTAACCCTAACCCTAATCCTAACCCTAACCCTAACCCTAACCCTAAACGCTAACCCTAACCCTAACCCTAACCCTAAACCCTAACCCTAACCCTCACCCTCACCCCTACCCCTAACCCCTAACCCCTACCCCCTACCCCTGCCCCTAACCTCCTAACCCTAACCGTAACGCTAACCCTAACCCTAACCCCAACCCCACCCCCACCCTCACCCTCACCCTAACCCTAAATCCTAACTCTAACCCTAAACCCTAACCCTAACCCCAACCCCAACCCTCACCCTAACCCCTAACCCTCACCCTAACCCCTGACCCTGACCCTAAACCCTAACCCTGATCCTTACCCTAAGCCTAACCCCGAGCCGAACCCCGACCCTGACCCTGAACCTAAACCTAACCCTAACTCTAACCGTAACCCTAACCCCCTCTCCCGAGCTCTCACCTGCTGCTGAAGTGGCAGGGGCATGGCCCCTTGGTCCCCCTGTTCTGGCACCCCTTCCTCTTACTCACTGAGTCATCTCTCAGATGAAGCAGATACTGCAGAAGGTACACCTAGCAGTGATCTCAGCATTCTACCCCCTGCTGGGTGGTTGATCAGTTTTTTTCACACTAAATGTGCATTCACTTCCTCAAGGGCTTTGAAAGGCCATACCTGCAAATCTGGGAACCCATCTGTGATAAATGAGGGTGGGTAGCACCCTTGTGTAACTCCCCAACCATTCAGTCAGCTATAGAATCCTCCTTAGCAGCTCTACCCTAATTGCCTTACCTGTAAAGGATTAAGAGGTAAACTTAAAATGAGTTGGCACCTCCCTAAGATGGATGACATGGTCAAGGTCCTAATACAAGCCACCGCAGCCCAGCAGGAGACTACCCGGGTCCAAGACACTGCCCAACAGGAGGCGACTTGGATGCAGCAGGAGACTAATTGTCTGTTGATGAGTCAGGCTGCCCAGGACCGAGTCCTGAAACAGGAGACGGTGAATCAGATGAAGGCCCTTATGGAGCTGAACCGCAACTGCGACGGGACCCGGACCATACGGGCTAGCCACTGCCTGCAGAAAATGACATGGGAGGATGATGTGGAGGCATACCTCCTGGTTTTTGAGAGAGCAGCCCTGCGGGAGGCCTGGCCCCGAGATCAGTAGTCTGGTATCCTCGCTCCACTTCTGTGTGGGGAGGCCCAGAAGATCTACTATGATATGGCCGCAGAGACTGTGGCAGATTACCCCAGCTGAAGGCAGGGATCCTGGCCAGATCCGGAGTAACGACAGCGTTACGAGCCCAAAGGTTCCATGAGTGGCGGTATACGGAGGACAAGGCACCCCGATCGCAATTGTTTGACCTGATCTACCTGACCCAAAAATGGCTGTGCCCTGAGGCCCTCAGCGCTGAGAAAATGACGGAGCCCCTGGTACTGGACTGGTATATGAGGGGGCTACCACCAGGCCTCCGGGCTTGGGTTCGCCAGAATGACCCCTCCACCTATGATGAATTGGTCTCCCTCGTGGAAAGACAGCTGGCAGCCCGTGAACTGCAGTGTGGGGAATTGGGACATATAGCAGCCCAATGCCCAACAGGGAAGAGTCTATGCAGTGCAATCTGGGGGATGACGGGGAGCAATGTGGCCTAATCAGCCTGGTAGGGGTCACAAAGACTCCGCATGGGTATACAAGATCGGTAAAAATGAATGGTATTGGTACCATAGCATTAGTGGATTCCGGGAGTGCTGTCACGCTGTTCTCAGGGAAGTTGGTGGGGCAAAACCAACTAACCCGGGCCAAAAACACAGGGGTAACGTGCATTCATGGCACCGTAAATTTCTACCCCACAATCCCAGTACGAATTGAGATCCAGGGGAACACTACCAGGGTAACTTCAGGGGTGGTCCCCAGGCTCCCCTACCCAGTCTTAATTAGTAGGGACTTCCCAGGGTTTGAGAGCTTACTCTCCCCAGTAGAGCCAGAGGAGAGTAGCAACCCCCGGGCTGAGACTGAGGCACCTACAGATAGCCTGACCCCAATTTTTGCCGAATTTGCCCCAGAGTTATTTTCATCCCCTGGGAAACCCTGCAAGTCTAGGCGGGAAAGGAAGGCAGATAAAAAATTAGGGACCAGGATTCTAGCAGAGAACCAGAAAGCCTCCCTTGTTGGTAGGCGAATCCGTTCAGGAGGCCAGGAGACAATTCAGGCCAGTGAGGACTTGGAGGCAGTTCAAAGCCCAAGTAGGAGCAACCCAGGGGGTGGTGTTGAAATAGGTCCCCTGGAATTAGTTCAGATCAGTACTGCATGTGAGAATTTTGGGCAGGACCAAGCCAACGACCCGTTATATGCGAATGTGAGGGAAGAGGTAGTGGAAGTAAATGGCATATCCGCGGAGGGAAAGACCAAAGGCCCAAGGCCATATTATGTGTTCAAACGTGATCTGTTGTACCAGATAGCGCAAATACAAGGGGAAGAAGTAGAGCAGCTCTTAGTCCCACAGAAACACACAAAGGCAATACTAGAGTTAGCTCACAGTCATTTATTTGGGGACATCTAGGAGTAGACAAGACACTGGATAGAGTCCTAAGAAGGTTTTATTGGCCAGGAATACGCGCAGAGGTCCAACGCTATTGTGCCTCTTGCCCAGAATGCCAGTTGCATAGCCCCCGACCTCACTTGAGGGCCCCATTAGTACCTTTGCCTATTATTGAAGTCCCTTTCGAGAGGATCACCATGGACCTAGTGGGCCTGCTAGAAAGATTGGCATGGGGCCACCGAAACGTACTAGTCATCCTTGACTATGCCACACGGTATCCAGAAGCCATTCCTTTAAGAAACCCCACATCCAAGGCAATAGCAAAAGAACTACTCCAGGTTTTTGCCAGAGTGGGCATCCCTAAGGAGATCCTGACTGACCAAGGAACCCCCTTCATGTCGAAATTAATGAAGGACTTATGTACCCTGCTCCACATCCAGGCCACCCTCTCCACTCCCCTTCTCTGGGACACTAATGGAACAGTTGATACCCCAGATCAGGGGCAAGAAATGGTGCCCTGAACCCCCCACAAGAGGAGAAAGTGTGGGACCCATCATAATAGTGCCAGCAATCTGCCACACAAGGTACAGCGTCGCCCCCACCCCATGTTCCTCCCAAAGGTAATCTTGCAGTTTCATAGTAATCAGGCTATTTTCCTGCCCATTTTCTTCCTGAAGCCGCACAAGAATAGGGAGGAATGACCTCTCCACACTCTGGACGTTAGGCAGGGCGTCCTAGTGTTCTGTATAGAAAAGACTATATAGAAAGTCGATCCATAAATCCGCACAGCTCTTTGTGGCAGTAGCTGATAGGATGAAAGGCTCAGAGAATTTCATCCTGGATCACATTGTGCATTCGCATGTGCTACAAGCAGGCAGGTATCCCACCACCTGCCTTCCTGATAGAGCATTCTATGAGAGCACATGCTTCCTCAGTGGTGTTCATGGCCCAGGCCTGATCCAGGACATTTGCAGAGAAGCGATCTGGGCATCAGTACATACTTTTTCTTCCAACTACGCCATCACCCAGCAAGCTAGAGATGCACTGGGCTTGGTTGGGCAGTGTTGTAATTCATGTGTCCATGAACTCCGAGTCCACCTCTTACGGTACTGCTTGGGAGTCACCAAACGTAGAATGGATGTGCGCAAGCATTTGAAGAAGAAAAAATGGTTACTTACCTTTCTGTAACTGTTGTTCTTTGAGACTTGTTGCACACATCCATTCATGAGCCAAGTGATCCTGAGGACCCTGCAAAATTAATACAACCAGAGCAGGAAAGAGTGGGGTACAGACCCACTGCACTCCCTCTCTTCCCTAAAATGACCCTGACTACCAGAACTGGGGGAATCCTCAGAGAGCAGAAGAGAGCTGGAGGGGATAGACCCCTGCAATATCTGGAGTACTCCCTTTGGGGTTGTGTCACCCTGCATCCCCTACAGGGAGCAAACAAGAACAAGCAGCAATGAGGTACTCCTTGAAGGGTGTGAGCTCTCTGCAGTGGGGGGTCTTTAGTGTACGAGACCCAACAGATGAAGAGGATGCCCCCTGCAAATCTGTGTTCCCTCCTGAAAGGAGCTGGGAGGGTATAGGACCTAACAACATAAGTGAGAACCCCATTTCTCAGGGGAGGGAGGGCCCAGTAGCAAGGAGAACCACTGGGCTACCTGCAGTTGGGTCTTGGTGAGAGTTTCAGAGAGAGGCTGCTGCTGACCCTCAGTTGTGTTTCAGGGTTTCACATTATCCAGACGATATACGGCTGTTATCTCTGGGATGACAACGTCATTCAGGTGTTTTACCAGGATTCATATGATGGACGAGATTTTCTTATCTTTGATAAGGAGCCCATGACTTGGGTAGCAGCAGATATTGGGGCTCAGATCACCAAGAGGAGATGGGATGTTGAAGTACATGACAACCAGGGATGGAAACAGTACCTGGAGGAGACATGTAGAGAACTTCTTAGCCAGGAAATAGAGTACGGGAAGGAGACTCTGCAGAGGAAAGGTAAGGCAGGGGGACAAGCCCCACCCAGGAGGTCATTAGAATTTACATCTCCATTCCCCAGCCCCAGTTCCAAAATGGAGCAGGGGGTAGGGGGGCATTCAGCTAACCTTGCACCAGGAATGGGTGGGGAAGCAACCCCTTCCCCCCACGCTTTGCAGGAAAAAAAGAACAGAAACTGAAAATGTTAAAAGCAGTTCACTGTAGAGAAACTGTATCTCCAGAGCCACTTGACCAAATGAGCCCAAATTCACAACACAAATTCTAGCTCTTCCCCTGGTGTGACGCAGCAGGCAATCTGCCTGTGCATGTGCATGTGCATTTTAGAGCACTTTGAAAAATAGACTATGTAGAGAAAGTGCCATTCAAGCTTAATTATGGAAGTGCCACCACTTCTATGAACACCAGCTTCAAACACCATGTAATTCTTCCTCATTCATTGTTTGTACCATCATATTTGTTGTGTTACCCCCAGCCCCTGTGTTCCACCAATGATGGTAGTTTTGTCCTTGTTGCCTCTTTGTCCAAACTTCTCCGACAGTCATCTATGTGCTTTCTTCCATGCCATCCCCTACTTGTGGAACTGCCCTCCCCATACTAATCTGGAAGAAGGTGAAAACTTTAAGGACAAGGGGAGCCAAGACCTATCTTTGCTGCAACGCTTTCTTAATTATTACTTGATTCTTTTAGCAATAAGACATCAGATAACCACACTCAGTCAAATTTATTACCAAAGCATTTTAGTTAAAGATTAATCAGCACAAACATAGAAGAGAAGAGGATAAATGCTTTACTATTCCATCTCAGGAGGACAGTTGCAGTGTAGTCTGCTTCAAAATGTTAACTCACTATTACCCATTCATGTACTTTGTCTGTTACCATGTCCACAAATTTCCCAAATTAGTTAGCATCATTACACACCCTAATCTTTCCCTTCCCAGTTTGCCCTTCCTGTTCAAGGTTACTTGAAATTTGTACCCAGTTTTGTGCAACAATTATACTAGTTGCTTATTTCTCTCACAAACCTCAGCAGAACATTATCTTGTCCTTTGCCATCTTTACAAAAGCCAACAAGAAAAAGCCATACACAGCAGTGTAATGTGTATTTCAGTCCCAAGGGGCTGGGAAACCGATTTTTCAACGTGTGTAAATCCTTTTGAAATCCATAATATTGGGGTAAATAGTTTTGGTAACAACCTACAAGAAATTAGCCAATTAATATTAGCTAGTTTGAGGGGCAGTTTACAACTATGTATCATTTTTTTGTTTAATGGTCCTTTCCATCTCTAATTGGTCAGTTTATCTAGTTCATTTTTTGAGCCCTGGCCAGGGCAAGATTCTTCACTCTTTCATATCCAAGGACTGATAGGAGATGAGCACAAATGTAGTGTGTGATTAAGGATTGACATCTGTGACGCCTGTATCTGGAGCTTAGTGAAGCCTTTTAAGGTACTTGTGTCACTGTGGCTGGGAGCAGAGGCTTCTGGTTTCCACACTCATAGAATCTGGGGACCTGGATTCGGGGTTCACCATTGCTGATGCTTTGAATTTGGCACAGGAATCCTCTAACATGGTGGTTTTCTCTCATCAGAGGAATTCCATCTCATGGACTCTCACTCTCTCCCACTGCTGCGGTCTCAGAATTTCATGTTGCAAAGCTCCAGCAAAGACTTCCTGGATTAGAGCTTGAAAACAGATAACTTCAATTTCTTCTTTTTTCCAGTGCGCCCAGCAGCTAGAGTGAGTGACAGGTCATCCCATGATGGCCTCACCACCCTCTTCTGTAAGGTCAGTGGGTTCTACCCCAAGGACATCACCGTGACCTGGCTGAAAAATGGGGAGAGCAGACAGCAGGACACCTACTCCGAAGGCATCCTACCCAATGGGGACAGGACCTACCAGACCTGGGTGACAATGGAGATTGATCCCAAGATCAAAGCCCATTATTCATGTCATGTGGAGCATGAAAGCCTGTTAGAACCACTCTCCATCTCCTGGGGTAAGGAGTTTGTGTGTGTGTCTGTTTTCCTAGTGGGAGAGGGGGAATCCATTAAACTCAACCCCTGAAAAATTCTCATTCAGATTTATAGGGTGAAGCTGGAGTTTCCTTAGGGTCTGTGAAGCCCTGTCGTCTTTGGCCCTGTCCCTCTGCAGTCAAGTTCTTGTGCTAGAGTTGGGACCCACAGTGCCAGTTTGCTGCCTCTGGGGCTGTTGGATACATCTCAGCAATACAGTATCTCCGAAGGGAGAAGATTAATCATGAGACATTGATGCTGGAAGAGAACAGTCTGACCTCCTGCATAGACCAGGGGAGGGAATCACACCAGGGAACCAACCGGGTAGGCTGTGGGCAAACTAGAGCTGATCCTTCAGAAAGAGATGCAAATTCCAGATGTAAAGTCTCTAAGGGATGGAGAATTTACCACATCCCAGGGGAAGCTCAAATTTGCCCCGAATTTGCAGTCAGAATTTGTCTTGCTTCACCTTCCAGCCTGTTCTCAACTTCAGCAGGTTCTCAGAAACACAGCTCTGGGGGCCGTTCATCCTTGCCCATGTGGCCAGAGAGAGATGTTTAATGTTGGGAGCAGCGTGTTTCTGTGTGCAGTGATGCTGGAAGAGAGGGTATGGCCTTGGAATGGAGCGAGGAAGCAAATTAGAGCCCTGCATCGGGGGGGAAAGTCTCCTATGCCCCTAGCGCAAGGAAGTCTAGGAAGAATTTATTACACATGGAGCTGCCTTCCAGCCATCTTTTTGCTTGGTTAGTTGGGATGTGGAAAAATGCAGCATTTGGAAGTGCAACCAATTTCTAAAAGGGCAGCCTTCACTGGAAATCTAGTCAAAAGATGGTTTCACATCATAATCTTGCTACCACGTCCCCTGCCAATTTTTGTGTCATAAACCACATTTCCTTATTCTCTTATAAATATTTTTCTTTTTGCTGTATTATTATGTGGGTCTTTCAGACAACAGGAGAAGCTGATTAGTGAAACTGAAAGTGTATAGAGAACTTGGGGTTTAACAGGTTTATATAAACCAAGAACAGTATTAAAATATCTCTATCCTCTCCTGTTCAATTCCTGCCTCCTCATTGTATCTGTAACTCCATTCATGGCAGGGAAATCCAGAGCTTTGAGGTCAGTTTTCAGTTTGTAACCAGAATCCCACAATGGGACTGTGTTCCATTAGTCATGAAAGTCAGTGTTGTCAAGGGGCGGGGGCGGGGCTGGGAGCCAGGACTCCTGGGTTCAATTCTTGGCTCTTGCACTGACTCGCTGTGTGACCTTCAGCAAGGCTTTTCTCCCTCCAATTTAGGGATGATACTGACATCCGTCCTCCCCCACACAGAGGTTTATGAGGATTGATTAATATTATAAAAGTCTTCTATTTTAAGTGCTACATATTTATTATGAATTGAACTGGTAGAGGCTGTGTCCAGGACTTTCTATGGTGGGGTGTAGTGCATGGTGGCTGCGTGGAGCTCCCTGGAAGGGGTGGAGGGCTTCAGGACTCAGCCCTAACCTGGGGAGCTGACTGGCTGATCCCGGCAGTGGGATGAAAGGAGGGTTTTAGTGTGGGGGGGGGGGATTTTTTCCCCATTGATCATTCTCTCTATTCCATTTCAGAACCAAATAACAATCTGATTCCCATTGTGGCTGGAGTTATCACTGCAGTTGTCCTGATTGGTGTTATAATTGGAGTAGTCATCTGGAAAAAGAAACGCCAGGTAAAGAACCTGGGATGGGGGGGTTCCCTGGACTTGCTGGGCCCTGCACATACCCCTAAGGACAACAGCAGTACAGGAACCAGTGTCAGTACTGTGTAACTGCCCCACTGCAGGACTGACCTAAGAACCCCCAATGGGAGCTGCTGGAGGGCCAGACCCAGAAATTGGGTGCGGGTTACAATTTATATGAGGCTAGGTTTTCTGAAGAGCTCAGCAGCCAGTGGGCTGAGATCTTTGGAAACTCTGTCTCATTGTGTCTTTCTCACCTGCCGATCATGAGCTCCTCGACCTTGAGTCCATTACTGAGCGCCAGGGGGCTGTGCTGGGCCAGGAACCACGTTTCTGAGCTGCGGACATTGACTGGAGTTGGTTCCTACCTTGGGAGCTGCATTCACTGAAATTTGCCTTTTCTCTGTAGGGAGGAAGGGAGACGGCTATGCTGTAGCTCAGGGTAAGTGACAAGAGACTCATTGCCTCTTTTCAAGTGGCCATCTCTGAACAACCATCAGTATTTGCTTGTCGATTTTAGCTTGGCGCCACTGACAGGAGATCCTCGCTCCCATTCATAGGCCTTGTCTACACTGAGAATTTTAAGGAAATCTCCAACTATTGCTCTAGTACCATAGACTCATAGAATCGTAGGACTGGAAGGTGCCTCGAGAGGTCTTCTAGTCTAGTCCCCTGCACTCAGGGCAGGACTAAGTTTCATCTCTAGACCATCCCTGACAGGTGTTTGTCTAACCTGCTCTTAAAAACCTCCAGTGATGGAGATTCCACAACCTCCCTAGGCAATTTGTTCCTGTGCTTAACCACCCTGACAGGAAGTTTTTCCTGATGTCCAACCTAAACATCCCTTGCTGCAATTTAAGCCCATTGCTTCTTGTCCTGTACTCAGAGATTGACAAAAACAATATTTCTCCCTCCTTCTTGTAACAACCTTTTATGCACTTGAAAACTGTTATCATGTCTCCTCTCAGTCTTCTCTTCTGCAGACTAAACAAACCCAGTTCTTTCAATCTTCCCTCATAGCTCATGTTTTGTAGACTGTTAATCATTTTTGTTGCTCTTCTCTGGACTTTCTCCAATTTGTCCACTATCCTTCCTGAAATGTGGTGCCCAGAACTGGACACAATACTCCAGCTAAGGCCTTATCAGCACAGAGTAGAGTGAAATAATTACTTCTCGTGTCTTGCTTTCCACACTCCTGCTGATACGTCCCAGAAGGATGTTTGCTTTTTTTGCAACAGTGTTACACTGTTGACCCATATTTAGCTTGTGGTCCACTCTGACCCCTAGATCCCTTTCCGCATTACTCCTTTCTAGGCAGTCATTTCCCATTTTGTATGTGTGCATCTGATTGCTCCTTCCTAAGTGTAGTACTTTGCATTTGTCCTGATTGAATTTCATCCTATTTACTTCCGACCTTTTCTCCAGTTTATTCAAATAATTTTGAATTAGAATCCTGTCCTCCAAAGCACTTGGAACCCCTTCCTGCTTAGTATCTCCACAAACTTTATAAGAGTACTCTCTATGCCATCAACTAAATCATTGATGAAGATATTGAATCGAACTGGACCCAGAACTGATCTCTTTGGGACCCCAGTCATTATGCCTTTCCAGACTGACTGTGAACCACAGTATGCATGAAATTTTTTAGGGAAAACCAAAACAGAAAATCATTTAGTACTTCTGCCATTTCCACATTTTCTGTTATTGTCTTTCCCTCCTCCTTGAGTAACGGGCCTACCCTGTCCTTGCTTTTAATGTATTTATAGAATGATTTTTTGTTACCCTTTATGTCTCTAGCTAATTTAATCTCATTTTGTGCCTTGTCCTTTCTAATATTGTCCCTACCTGCTTGTGTTATTTGTTTATAGTTATCCTCTGTAATTTGACTAGTTTCTACTTTTTGTAGGAGTCTTGAGTTTCAGATCACTGACGATCTCCTGGTTAAGCCAGCATGGTCTCTTGCCATCCTTCCTGTCTTTCCTATGCAGTGGGATAGGTTACACTTGTGCCCATGATAATGTCTCCTCGAATAATTTCCAAGTCTCTCAACTGTCTTCCCCTTTAGACTTGCTTTCCATGCATTGGACAGCTTGGGGTGGTCACCCCGGGCCCTGCGCTTTGGGGGGCCCCCAATTTCAGGGGACATGGGGCCTGGGCAGCTCGGGGGCTGGCCCCCTCTGCTCTACCCCTATGCTTGAGGGGGATGCAGGGCCTGGGCGGCATGGGAGCCGGCATCACCACCAGCCCCGCTTTGCTCTGCCTTGCCAGCTCCCAGCATCGCTCAGGAGAGGAGGGGGTGGGGGCTTGGGGGAAGGGACGGAATGGGGGCGGGGCAGAGCAGGGGCAGGAAGAGGCAGGGCTGGGGAATAGGCGGAATGGGGGTGGATTGGGTGGGGCCTGGGGTGGAGCAGGGGGTTGTCCAGGGCCCCGCACCCCCCTAGGGACAGCCCTGTTGCTATGGGATCTTACCTACCTACTTCTTCAGTTTGCTAAAGTCTGCCTTCTTGAAATCCATTGTCTTTATTGTGCTGTCCTCCCTCCTACCATTCTTTGCAATCATGAGGTCTATGATTTCATGATCACTTTCCCCCAAGCTGCCTTCCACTTTCAAATTCTCAACCAGTTCCTCCCTATTTGTCAAAATCAAATCTAGAACAGCCTCACCCCTAGTAGCTTTCTCCACCTTCTGGAATAAAAATTGTCCCTAATAGATTCCCAGAATTTGTTGGATAATCTGTGCCCTGCTGTGTTATTTTCCCAACAGATGTCTTCTTTGGTTGTGTAGAGTGCTCTTGACATGTTGTCTAACGTTGCTCAGATCAACTCTAGATAATACAGTGATTAAAGCCACCTGAACCCTATCTCCTCAATTGCTCCACCATTACTATCTCTGGTGGAATTGCATTGCTTGCGGGTATGGCTACCAATTTTGCTAGTGCAGACAAGGCGATAGTCAGGAATGTATACGGTGGTGTTGGGCTGAATTATTATCCCCCTAGAGCTGTGCTGTGTGTGGCTGAGTGTGACCCTGAAGGTGTCTGACCTGCTTTTAATGTTACACTTCTTTTGACTTACCTGAAACTTGGGTTTTGGTGCTTGTGAAATCTGGGCCTGACCCAAAGCCTGTTGAAGCGAATGGGAGTCTTTCCATTGACTTCTGATCAGCAACACTCTGTCACCTCAATGACCACGAGTTCATATCCCCTCCTCAGTTGTCTCCTTTAGGAACAAGACCAAGACTAACAACTATATTTACATAAATGATGGACTGCATCTGAGGCCATCTAATACCTGGCAGCAAGAGTCGTTATAAAGTGCACAGATCTGCCGGGCCCTGCTAGGGTGTAGCAGTCCAGCTCTCTCTTTACCCTCTCAGGGGTGCCTCCAGCGGGTAACTGAGGAGGTTTGATAAATGCCAACGAAACCTCCTCAGAGCACCACCTTTCCTCCTACAGCTGGCCCTCAGTCGTGCCTCCCTCACTCCTCCTCTTTACTCCAGAATAATGGAAATTCACATGCAGGAACTTTGTTACTGTGGAGTTAAGGTTGCAGGTGCACTCAGAATGGGAGTGTGTAGGCGGGTGTGGCCCTTCCTCCGTGTCAGGCTCTGAGGGAGGCCACACCCCTTTGCTGACACACTCCTGGAAGAACAGTCTAAGCAAAGGGAAGTTAGCAGTCTAAGGCTCCAACCCTCAGGCAGGGTAGAGCAGGGAACAGTCTAGGGCTCAGGCAGGGGTTGAGCTCCAAACAAACAGACTAGGGCTCAGGCAGGGGCTATCGACTTGCTCAGGCCTCCTGGCCTAAGGTGAGGAGGCTGCCGACCCTGGAGTTAGGGTGGCAGAGCGACACGTGCCCACCCGACTCCACCGTGTCCCAGCCCAGGGCTCTAACAACGGCAGAGCGGTCTGCCACTGGGTCAGCGGGGATCGAGCCGCAACACACTGATCTAGTGTCAGCCAGAAACGTAGCTGGACAGTAGTCGTCTGCCCCAGGCTACTTCCTCCCCTCCCCTCCGGGTGTACCTGAACCCTGGGGTCGTCCTCCGTCTCCCCACAGTGCACACTGCCAGTGGCAATCCTAGCAGCTCCTCCACATCAGGCATGTCTGGCAGTTCTGCTGTCTCAGTGACACACCCAAGATACCAGAAGTCTTCCAAGGGCTCCAGCAGTGGGCTGGAGGCATGTGACTTCCTCAGCAACTCCTGCTTGACTGAGCTGCTGGGCTCACCTCTTATATATCCAGTTCCTGTCCCGCCCTTCCGGCGTGGCAACCGAGGTCTGGCCCTCCCTCGCTCTCAGGCTCTGAGGGAGGCCACGCCCCTTTGCTATAGAATGTTTAATTCCCAGAAGTCAAAGGTTGGCAAAACAGGATATGCAGAGGTAGAATGATGCTTCCCACACAACTCGAACTCTGCCCCAGTGGGTCTGGGAATAGGAACTGGGCAGAGACCAGCACGAGGCTAAACCAAACTTGCCATTGTCTGTGTGCCCAGCAACACCCCAAATCAGCATTCCTCTTCATACCTTCCACACTGTTCTGTGCAGCACCATTGATTAAGGTGGGAATTGCTGTTCATTGGCAGGGGGTGAGGGTGAAGTCTGTGGTCTGCTTGAGGGACCCCTCTGGGCACAGACCGAAGGGGGCGGATTTGAGGTACTTTGGCAGGAATATCCTTACCTAGCATCTCCTACTTTGCTAGCCTTTGAATTAGGGTGACCAGACAGCAAGTGTGAAAAATCGGGACAGGGGGTGGGGGGTAATAGGAGCCTATATAAGAAAAAGACCCCAAAATCAGGATCGTCCCTATAAAATCGGGACATCTGGTCACCCTACTTTGAATGTTGAGTATTCAGTGCTCCCATTCTGAAGAGGCATGAAGAGCACAAAGTAGTGCTGATCCCCTACAGTGGTAACATTTTTTGCATGTGAATAATGGATATCCTGGGCAGCTGCACTGTAGCCTGATCTGTGCACCAACCATCTCACTGCTAGGGAAGAGTAAGTTGATGACTGTTCCCTTTGGATAAGAGTCCCCGTATCTACTAATGAC